TTGCTGTTTTGAGTTTTGTTGTTGTGTTGTCTAGTTTCGTGTTGTTGTGTGTGTGTATATATGTGTTTGTGTGTGTTTGTTGTTTGGTGTTGTGCTTGTTGTATCTGGTTGTGTCTTTTGTGTGTGTGTGTTTTTGGGGGGGCAGCCAAGGGCCTCAGCGGCCCAGGGGATGCTCCAGATGCCTGGCCCTGGCCCCGCTGTGCTCGCACCCCGCCGCCTGCGGGCTCTTCGCGGGGCGGCCAGGGCGGGGCGGGGCGTTCCTGCGCGGGCGCGCGGAGCACGCGGGAGCGCTGGCTGGGGCCGTGGGGGATCTCGACCTTGGACGTCGTGCTAAGAGACCGTGCTGGTCGAGTCCCGCCTCCTCCTCCTCCTCCTCCTCCTCCTCCTCCTCCTCCTCCTCCTCCTCCTCTCTCCTCCTCCTCCCCCCTTCTCCTGCTCCTCCTCCTCTCCTCCTCCTCCTGCGCTCCTCCTCCTCCTCCCTCCTTTTCCTCCTCTCCTCCTCCTCCTCCTCCTCCTCCTCCCCTCATCATTCATCATCATCATCATCATCATCATCATAGCTCAGCTAACACTGTCATCATCATCATCATCATCATCCTCATCCTCATCATCATCATCATCATCATCCTCTTCATCCTCCGCATCCTCATCATCATCCTCATCCTCATCACCATCATCATCATCAGCATCATCATAAACAACATCATCATCCTCATTCTCCTCCTCATCCTCATCATCATCGTCATCATCATCTTCATCATCATCATCATCATCCTCAGCCTTATCATCCTCCTCATCCTCCTCATCCTCATCATCAGCATCATCATCAACATCATCATCATCCTCATCATCCTCATCCTCCTCATCTTCCTCATCATCATCATCTTCATCATCATCCTCATCATCCTCATCCTCCTCATCATCCTCATCCTCGTCCTCATCATCATCCTCATCCTCATCATAATCATCCTCATCATCATCATCATCATCATCATCATTTTCATCCTCATCATCCTCATCCTCATCCTCCTCATCTTCCCCATCATCATGATCATCGTCATCATCATCTTCATCCTCATCATCGTCATCATCATCCTCATCCTCGTCCTCTTCATCATACACATCATCCTCATCCTCATCCTCATCCTCCTCATCCTCCTCATCATCATCATCTTCATCATCATCCTCCTCATCCTCCTCATCCTCCTCATCCTCCTCGTCAGCATCATACACACCAGCATCATCCTCATCCTCATCCTCGTCATCGTCATCATCATCCTCATGCTCCTCATCCTCCTCATCCTCATTTTCATCATCGTCATCATCATCATCATCCTCGTCCTCATCCTCATCCTCATCCTCATCCTCATCCTCATCATATTCATCATCATTATAAACATCATCATCCTTATCCTCCTCATCCACATCATCATCATCCTCCTCCTCATCCTCCTCATCATCGTCATCATCCTCATCCTCATCATCATGTTAAACAGTATCATCATCAGCATCCTCATCCTCATCCTCCTCATCTTCCTCATCATCATCAGCATCATTATCATCATCATCATCATCCTCATCATCATCATAAACATAATCATCATCATCATCCTCCTCATCTTCCATATCCTCATCATCATCATCATCATCCTCCTCATCTTCCATATCCTCATCATCATCATCAGCAGCATCTTCATCACCATCATCATCATCCTCATCCTCCTCATCCTCCTCATCCTCCTCATCCTGCTCCTCATCATCATCATTTTCATCATCATCATCGTCATCATCATGATCAATTCATCAGCATCGTCATCCTCATCCTCCTCGTCCTCATTCTCATCATCATCATCCTCGTCCTTCTCATCATCATCATCATCATCATCATCATCATCATCATCATCATCATTTTCATCATCATGATCATCCTCATCCTCCTCATCCTCCTCATTCTCATCCTCATCCTCATCCTCATCATCATCGTAAATTTCATCATCAGCATCATCATCCTCATCCTCATTCTCATCCTCATCATCTTCATGATCAGCATCCTCATCCTCCTCATCCTCCTCATCCTCATCATCATCATCATCCTCCTCATCATCATCACCATCATCATCATTATCATCCTTCCCATCTTCCTCATCCTCCTCCTCATCATCCTCCTCCTCATCATCATCATCATAAACATCATCATCATACTGATTAGCATCCTCCTCATCCTCATCATCCTCATCATCATCATCATCATCATCATCTTCATCATCTTCATCATCATCCTCATCATCCTCATCATTCTTATCCTCCTCATCTTCCTCCTCCTTATCATTCTCCTCCTCCTCCTCCTCCTCTTCCTCTTCCTCATCAGCATCATCAGCATCATCATCATCATCATCATCATCATCATCATCGTCATCATCATCATCATCATCATCATCATCATCATCATCATCAGCATCATCATCATCCCCCCCTCCCGCCATCCTCCAAAGCCGCTTTTTTGGAGAGTTTTTGGGGCGGCCCTCTGGGCCCGTCGAGGCTTCCCCCAGGGATGCCGAGGAACGCCGAAGGCCGGCCGCTCCGACTTTTCTCGGAGCCTCGGGCGTCGGTTTTGTTCGAGGCATACGCCCCCGACATCTCGACCACTTCCATGGGGCCGTTTTCTTTTTCCCCGTGTTGTTGTCTAGGGCTCCAGTGGCTTTGTGACGGCCCCGAGAGGCTCCACCATTTTGGGGGAGGAGGAGGAGGAGGAGGAGGAGGAGGAGGAGGAGGGGGAGGACGAGGAGGAGGGAGAGGATGAGGAGGAGGGAGGAGGAAAGGAGAGGAGGAGGAGGAGGAGGAGGAGGAGGAGGGAGGAGGAGGAGGAGGAGGAGGAGGAGGAGGCAGAAAGAGGCGGAGGCAGGAGCATGAGGCAAGGGGAGAAGGAAGAGGCAGGAGGGTGTAGAAGGAGGGGGCTTGAGGATATTTTCCGGCAAGCTAAAAAATTCTCATTCGGGGACTTCCGTCGGAGTAATTTATTGCGTAGCACCCCGCAATTGCGGATAAGAGTGAGGGGGCGGGCGCGGGCGACGCGGGCGTCGAGCCGGCGGACCTCGTGGCCCTCACTTTCCTTGTCGATGGCGCCCTCCTCCTCTTCCTCCTGCTCCTCTTCCTCCTCCTCTTCCTCGTCTGCGTCCTCGTCCTCATCGTCGTCGTCGTGCTTTGACAAGTTCAGCGCGGGGGGGATCGCTGGTGGGCCACCCGGAACGAATGCCAAAACAGCCCGGCGCAGGCGCCGAATGTTTGGCTTGCTCAGTGAACATATTTTGGGTCGCGGGTGGGTCGCGGGCTCCCCACCTCCACCTGGAAGGAATTCAAAAACAGCCCGCCGCAGGCGCGGAAAATTTGGATGTGTACACTGAACGCGGTTTGGGTCGCGGGTGGGTCGCAGGTTCTCCACCTGGAACGAATGCAAAAGAAGCCCGCCGCAGGCGCCGAACATTTTGGGTGGGTCGCGGGGTTGGGTCGCGTGGTGGGTCGCGTGGGTCCGCGGTGGGTCGCGGGTGGGTCGCGGGCGCGGTTTGGGTCGCGGTTTGGGCCGCCGGTGGGTCGCAGGTTCTCCATTTGGAAGGAATTCAAAAACAGCCCGCCGAAGGCGCCGAAAATGTTGATTTGTGCACAACGCGGTTTGGGTCGCGGGTGGGTCGCAGGTTCTCCACCTGGAACGAATGCAAAAAAAGCCCGCCGCAGGCGCCGAACATTTGGGGTCGCGGGGTGGGTCGCGGGTGGGTCCGCGGGTGGGGTCGCGGTGGGTCGCGGGTGGGTCGCGGGCGCGGTTTGGGTCGCGGGTGGGTCGCGGGTTCCCCACCTGGAACCAATGCAAAAGAAACCTGCCGCAGGCGCCGAAAATTTTGGGTGGGTCGCGGGGTGGGTCGCGGGTGGGTCGCGGGTGGGTCGCGGTGGGTCGCGGGTGGGTCGCGGGTGGGTCGCGGGTGGGTCGCGGGTGGGTCGCGGGTTGGTCGCCGGGTGGGTCTCGGGGTGGGTCGCGGGCGGGTCGCGGGTTGGGTCGCGGTTGGGTCGCGGGGTGGGTCGCGGGTGGGTCGCGGGTGGGTCGCGGGGTGGGTCGCGGGTGGGTCGCGTGTGGGTCGCGACGACAACAACAAACAACAACTAACAACAACTACAACAACAAGAATCCGCATCGCGGAATTCCATTTCAGCCACGCACCCAGGGACAATGAATGACCGTTCGGTTCAGCCCCCCAATCTGATATTGTTTTTTCTCTGCTCACTATGGGCCACGGAACGCCGTACCATGTGGATCCTGCCACTGGGGCGTTCGGTAGAGCTCCCAGTGGGGCCACGCAACGTTTACTGGGTGGGGGACGCGCTTGTGGACCCTGCCTCTGGGGCCTTCGGTGAAGCTTCCAATGGGGCCACGACGCGCTGTACTGGGTGGGGCTGCACTGGGTGGGGGAAACACATGTTTACACTACCACTGGGGCGTTCGGTAGAACGCCTTATGGGCCACCACATGCTGTACTGGGTGTGGGAGACCCATGTAAACCCTACCACTGGGGCCACCGTTGGGGCTCCATGTGGGGCCATGGAGCGCTGTACTGGGTGGGGCAGACGCCTGTAAACCCTGTCATTGGGGCCTTCGGTCGAGCCCGTACGCATGGGGGCACGAAGCGTTGGATCGGGCGGGGGAGACGCATGTGAGCCCTGCCACTGGGGCATTCGGTGGAGCTTCTTGTGGGGCCCCGGAGCGTTTGGGGGGTGTGCCGAATTCGTGGGCTGATGCGGAGAGCAGAGGCAGGGCAGAGGCAGCGATGGGAGGAGGGAAGACGGGGGGGAGGAGCTGAGGAGGACGAGTGGACGCGGGGACTGCCCCTTCAAAGCGAGGACCTGACACCACAGGATGGCTGAGGCCACTCCGCCCCGATTATTATAGAGATGCCAGGATGTCTGCCCCGCCCGTCGCCGGCCTGCGCCGCCAGCCGCCGCCCTGGGCCCCAGAGGTGCTCGAGGAGGCGGTGCTCGGCGAGCAGGGCGCGGCAGACTAGGTCGGCGGCGAAATCCGAGCCCTACCCTGGCCGAGGACGAGGAGGACGGAGGAGGAGGAGGAGGAGGAGGAGGAGGAGGAGGAGGAGGAGGAGGAGGAGGAGGAGGAGGAGGAAAAGGAGAAGGGAACGACCGCCAGGCACTCCGCGGCGCTGGCGGGTCAGGAGCAGGCACTCCTGTCCTTCCCAGGAACGAGGACGACCCGAGCATGCCCGACAATCACTTCATCACTGCCGTAAAGCTTCGCCTCCGATGTGATGTTTGTCCACAAGGCGCCGCGTGCCAGCATCGTCGCCAAGACGGCACAGTCTGCGGCGCGCCACTGGACCAGCGAGGGTGGCACGCGAGATGCTGTGGAGTTGGTCACCCCCGCACTGCCCGCCACGACCGCCAGCGGGACTTTGCATGCCAAGCTGCACGCCAGCCTCATTAGTTTCGCCGCGACCACGGAGCAGACAGTCCCTGTGTGGGACCGCGTCAATCGGCGCACAGGCTTGCTGGAAGCAGCCAAACTGGACGCCGCCACGACGGATCCCAGCACGGGACGGCCCGTTTACGTTGATTCGAGCATCACCTGCGAATATTTTGAGCACGCCCCTCGCAGGCAAGCGCGCTCCAACAACGACGGCGCTGCCGCAGCGGCCGTGGTGCGGGAGAAGCGGGACCGATACCTCCCGAGCGGGGAAACCTTCGCCCCACTCGTCTTCGAGACGCTGGGCCGCCCATCTGACGAAGCCGCAGAGTTCATCCGGGCTTACGGACAGAGCTTCGATGAGGCGGAGCGGGGCGAGGTGCTCGGCAGCGTGTGGCGCCATCTCTCCCGCCAGCTCCAGCGGGGCAGCGCAGAGATGGTGCTCAGCGCCATCGGCCGCTGAGGCCCCAGCGCTGCGCAGACGCCGCGGACGTGCAGCCGCCGCCGTTGCGGCCACCGCCGGCGCTGCACTAGGCGGCGCCGCCACAGACTGCTGTGACCGCCGACGACGGTGCGGAGGCCGTGGGCCAGTAGCCTAGCAGCCATGGCAGCCGAGCGCGGCCACGGCGGCAGCGATGACGGCCGACGACGATTGCCGACGACGACAACCGATGACCCCCACGACTGCGACGACCGCCAGCCTCCACCGCCCCAGCGCCCGACTACGTGCAACACCCGCTGCTGCCCTCCTTGGTGGGCCGCCTCTGCATGCATGTGCTGACCCCCTCGTTCCTCCTCCTCCTGATGTTGTGCTGGATTTTTCGTTGCTGGGCCCAGGTGTAGTAACTCGCGCTTTCCAATTCGAAACCCTCCTGCGACCCCACGGGCCCCCTTGGCGAAGGGGGAGGGGGCCAATTCTGGCGCCCGTGGGTATCCTCTCGGGAGGGAGGAGTGAAGAGCGAGGAGGAGGAGGAAGAGGATGAGGAAGAGGAAGAAACGTAATACTAAGTTTATTAAGTATAGTATCGTGAACATTAATAATACGAAAAACCATATATATATTATATATATATATATATATATATATACGTTGACTACTAGTACGACTAGTACGTCTACTAGTAATACTACTAACAATCGAACGATCACTAATAGTAGTACACAAATGTAAAATCATGATGGCGATGCTGATAGTAATATTTTTGGCTCAAGCAATTTCGGTTCAAGCCATTTTGGCTTAAGGGCTTCCACAGCGGCCCAAGAGTCCAAGTGCCCCAGCAAGCCTCGTGCCCCACCCGATGCGCTTCCCACCCATGGAGCGGTTTCGAATGCTTTCTGGCTTGTTTAACACCGACCCTCTCCTGGTGGAGAAAAGTTCACCAATGAAGTTATTTCGGCCTCCGAAGCGACGGCGTCGTATGCAAGTGTTCGCAGGTTGCCGAGCAATGTCAGTGTGGCTGCGACTGCAAGCTGAACGGTTGCCGTATACCCCGTGCAGCACATCAATTGGCATACCCCTTTTTCACGTTTGGAGGCTGAAGTGGATAGCGTATTTACTGTCGTCTCTGGGTGGTGGCAGCTTCGATTACATGATGAGTTGTGCTGCAATTTCTCTGGTTATCCGCCCCCTGAGGATACAGTATTTCATGATTTGTGGCCTGATGCCCCAGCTTGTTTTCCGTCATTTTCTTCTGCTGGGCAACACAAGAGTGACCCATCGGACACAGCCAAGGCGCCGATGGCCAATGATCTGACGCTGAATTTGCGGCAGAGTAACGATATTTGCTTCAGAGTCCGGCCTCCGCCGGATATAGTGAGGTCAGACAGGAAACTGCGCAAGTAGTTCAACAATGGTTTCGGTCTCTCGCGAGGGGCGCAGACATTGCAGCTAATGCTACTTTCTCTCTCATCGTCTTCAGTATGGCCTACGGTGTCCGATACAGATTTGGCAGAGGAACGCACGCATCTGATCATGACCGCCACCGAGTTTGAATCGCGCGTGCAAGCTGGGACGCTTCGGATGAACACCCGTTATGTTTTTTGTT